TATATACCAATAGCAATATCAAATGGAGCTCTACAAAATTAAATAATGTAAAAGAGTTAATCAAACAAAGTATTAGTAATTAAATATGATGTTTCAAGTGATGACTTACACATATCCAAATAGATCTGCTGAGTACTCAGAAACAAAGCCTACTGCTATAGCAATGACTGATAGAACAACAACTATATTTACAAGTAAAATGAAAAATAATATCGAAGTAATGTTGAAAATAATAGACCTTACATGAATTTGCTAGTATCTGTTTAAGTGAGTCAGCACTTAAACCACTCTAGAATAATATATAAGTTGATAAGAAGATGGATATTAGAATAAATAAAATATACGTTATGATGAGCTTGAACGAGCCATGCTTCAAAGTTTGTATTGTATAATGAATGAGCTATACCAAGAGCTGCACTTCCGATGAAAAAAATCCACACTATATTGATATTCTTTTAAGATACAAATTACGTTATGAATTTATATTAGGATGTTTTATAAAATTTACTGACAAGTGAGAGACAACTGATCATATAGAATATGGCGGATAAAATACATGCTGTTCGACGCCCACTAAAGATAGATAATAATACAATTGTTCTTTTCTATTTTGATAATATATTCTAAAAAACAATATACTTACTATTTATCAGAAAGTGATGAAATAAGTGTACCAAAAGTTAAACTTGAAATATTAGCACAAAGATAAATTCGTTCAATTGTTGTTCGTCTAAGACCATATGAATTGAAAATAGCATATTGATAGGAACTTTGTAAACAGTTACCAGCTATACGATGAGATGGAAAATATGATAATCATTAATACAATTCAGTATGATAACAAAGTATAAATGCCTGTTGCAAGTGCATAACCAATGAGATAATTGAATTGTAATTGTTTGAGTACTAATGAATCTGATGATGTGATACTTGACCTTTCACTATCGATCACCATTATTTGGTATGTAGTGAATACTATAGAAAGAAAATATGAATGAGTTATGCACGGTTGAATGCGTTTTATTTTATTTTTTTATCAAATATAATTTGATAAATAGTAAGTGGGTAGAATTAGTATCACAGCGTGTCATTTTACGTATGTATGAAAATGTGATGAATCAATGGGAACATGTACTTTTGATCACCAAAACAAGATACATTTGATAGGAGTGGGTGTGAGTAAAGCATTGTGATATACTTATCCCTACTCCACACTCTTATTTTTGAGCATAAAAAACACTTTCCCCTAGCCACACGCATTCTTAAGAGATTAATCTGAAAATATTTAAAAAATTGATTTTAAAATTGATTTCATCATGAAACTTAATTATTTTTATTAAATATTTTTCAACTTCAACTAATTATAATTTCATAATAAACATTTTTTTACTATTCACAAAAATACTTCAAATTGCTTATTCGATCATTTCTTCAACTATTCTAAACAGACAATTTCCACTTTCAATTGTTAATATGGATCAAAAAGTAAAAGTCGCATCTTTAAATTTTTTTTCTCTTCATCCAATTTCAAATCAACAAAACAAAACAAAAATGAAGTTCGAAAATTTTATTAATTAGAAAAAATAAAATATACTTCATTGTTTTCATTGAAATGATTTTTCTTCAAATTTTATTTTTATTTTTCAATTTTTTCTTTAACAAAAAATTTCTTTCTCTTTTTACAAAATTGAAAAATTCCATCCACAAAACAATTTTAAATTTTACAATTCGATTATTCAAATAATCAGCAACATAGAGATTTCCTTCATCATCAAAAGATAAACCATTGGGATGATTCAATTGATTTCCACCAACAACAATTTCACCTTCTTCTTTTCCTTCAGACCAACGTATTATTCGATGATTGAAATAATCTGCTACATAGATTTGACCGAAATAATCAACAATTACTCCTCGAGGTGACGACAATTGATTCCGATTTCTTCCTTGACCATTTCCTCCAGCTACAATTCTTCCCTCTTTTGAATCTTTTCTCCATTTCATCACACGATGATTGCCAGTATCTGATACATACACAGATTCATCTTCATTAACAAAGATATCAGTAGGATGATTGAGTTGATTGAGTTTATTTCCTTGTTTATTTCCACCTGCTACTATAATTCCTTCGTTGTTGTACTCTCCCATTCTCCATCGTCTCACTTCATTCTTCTTGTAATCAGAAACATAAAGAAATCCGTTTTTATCTATTGCCAAGCCATAACAGTCAATGTTTTCAATGAGAATTTGTTGATTTTGCTTCAACCATCGAATTACTCTTCTGTTTAACGAGTCAGCAATGATGATCGAATGACTTTGTTGATCAACAATCACATCTGTTGGATAATTCAATTGATCCGTTCGCTTTCCTTCTTCAGTTCGACCTGCAATAATTTGTCCTTCTTTTCCATTATATTTCCATTCTACAATACGATCGTTACGATGATCGGCAATGAAAATATTCTTGTTTTCATCAATAAAGATTCCAAAAGGGCGACTGAGTTGATTCAATGCGTGTCCTGGTCCATTTCCTCCAGCTACAGTGATAGGATTTTGTTCCCATTTGCCCCATCCTGGTTCTACAAAAAGGATGAAAACAAAAGATTTTGATGCAAAGAAGAAATATTTTGTTTCGAAAAGTAAAATTGAAAATAAGAAAAGACTTCGTTGACTTATTTTTTAATTTAATATTATTTCATATCCTATCCTTCTTTTTTTCTTCATCATTGTTTTTATAGTTTTCCAACACAATATCAGAGAAAATGAGTATTATTCTTCTAGAAATTATTTATTAAAAACTTACTTTTTGAGAAAATAATTGAAATTTCATTAATAAATGATTTTGAATCTTGTTGAATGGACATATTTGATAAATTATTTAATTCTTGTGTCATTTTCATCAGTTGATTTCGTAAATAATCGAAACTTATTTCATTAAATTCATTTTCTTTACGAATTTGTTTTATTTGTTCATTTAAATCTTTAAATTTCATTTCAATATCATTAATACATATTTGTGATGATTTAATGAGGTTTTCTCTGCACTCTTGTGCTTTGTGTTGAATTATTTCAATTGATTCTTTTTCCCATTGATTAATTTGTTCTCTTAATAAATGATTTTGTGGACTAAGCTTTTGTTCATTAATTCTTTCTTTAAATTCATCATAATCATTCGTAATACAATTTAATTCATCCTTTAATCTTTGTTGATGTTCTGTTAAATCCGTTAAACAAAATTCTTTTAAACATCCTTTACAACGATATGTTATTTTTTCTTTGTTACATGTAAAACATTGTGTTTTATTATTGGCCATTGCTATGTCTTTGATTAGAAGTCTATAGAAGAAATGAATATCTAATTATCTACTTTTTCACATATAAACTTAAGAACGTGTCTATGTACACACGTGTCCATGGTAACCGAGCGGATTCTTGATTTGGTCTTGATCCATCTTTTATACTACTTTGAAAATAAAAACATGAAAAAAATTCCATTAAAATAATGAAACAGGCATTGGTTTTTATGTATTTTATTTTCATTGATTAAAATTGAAATTTGAATTGAACTCATTTCGTGGGAACCCCCCCAACTGGTACCATATTCGTCCTATTAGTACTATTTCCTTTAAATTTGTTTTTAACTAATCGTAATTAGTATTTAATTAACAACTCTATTATTTCATCGATATATAAAAGATATACGATTGAACAATGTCGATGCATTATACAATCATTTGTATTTGAATCAGGACAAGATCGATAGTTTTTATTATTTTAAGAAGATTTTTGTAAACTATTTATTGATTTAAAAGAAGATAATAATGTTGAAAGTTGGATCAGTTTTGATTTTTGATGCTAAATAAAGAAGAAAAATATTTAATTTATAGTTAACCTAATTTCCATAATTGATTTACATCTAAATGGCCTTGATTTGTTGATGATAAACGAGATGATTCATCGATTATTATTGAAGCAAATGTTCCAGTTGTAAATGAAGTTGAGTGAATCTTTGTTGATGAAATAGATCAACATGTTAGTCGGTGTAGGTACGTGTGGATTCATGTTCTATTTACCCACACTCACATCTTAAAAAGAAAGATTTGTTTTCGTTTTTTCTTATCAACAGATTCTGTTTTTTAGAATTTATTAAACTTTTTATTTAACAAAAAATTTCTTTTGGTATTTTACAAAATCAAAATTTTATTCACACAACGGCTTCAAATTTTACAATTCGAGCATTCCGAAAATAACCAACATAAAGATTTCCTTCATCATCAAAAGATAAACTACAAAAACCATTCAATTGGTTTGATTGATTTTCTTTTTCAGTTCCACAAACAACAACTTCACCTTCACCTTTTCCTTCACACCAACGCATTATTCGATCATTTGCAGAATCTGCCACATAGATTTGACCCAAACTATCAATAACTACTCCTCCAAGATTAGACAATTGATTGAGATTTTCTCCTTTCCCATTTCCTCCAGCCACAATTCTTCCCTCTTTTGCACCTTTTCTCCATTTCATCACACGGTGATTGCTAAAATCTGATACATAAACAGATTGGTCTTTATCAACAAAAAGAAAACTAGGAGAATTGAATTGACTGAGTTCATTTCCTTTGCCATTTCCACCTGCCACTATAATTCCTTCGTTGTTATATTCTCCCATTTTCCATCGTTTCACTTCATTCTTCTTGTAATCAGAAACATAAAGAAATCCATGTTTATCCATTGTCAAGCCGTAACAGTCAATATTGTCAATGAGAATTTGTTGATTTTGATTTAACCATTGAATCACTCTTCTGTTCCCAAAATCAGCAATGATGATCGAATGAGTTTGTTGATTAATAATTACATCTGTTGGATAATTCAACTGATCCGTTCGATTTCCTCTACCATTTCCACCTGCAATGATTTGTCCTTCCTTTGCATTAT